CGATGTCTAAAAAGAACATTTGAACTTGAAAATACCCAGATCGTAAATCAAGTTTTGTAAAGAATTTTGCTCCTAATTCTTCTAGCAATTCATCAATCATAGGAATGGAGAATTTATCTTTGATTGTCTTGGAGTTTAATTGATAATCAACACAAAACTGCTAAGACCCATCCATCGTAAGAACCAAGATTACTGATGAAGAGAATGGTGATCTACGTGGGCGAATAATTCCTTGATGTATCACGTTGAACATTGCTTCTTGATAGGTGTCATTTTTGTAGTATTTTTAATATAGTTTTTATTTAGAATTTTAGCAAATCTTATCACTTTGATTTAGTTTTTCTTCGTTTTAACTATAATCTTTGATCATAGTTTCCTTGAATCATAATCCACTTGATCTGAAAGAAATTTGCAGGGTTTTGACACAAAAAAGAGCATTACAAAGCAAAATATTCAGAGGCTAGCACGCCCGTGCTAAACTAAGAGGAACCAAGTGGAGAGTCAGAGGCTAGCACGGCTAGCCCGTGCTATAGGACACGCCCGTGCCCAAAGGAACCTCAGGGCGTGTTTTCCTAGCATGGCCTGTGATGAAATTCATCTTGGAAGGTTAGAGCTTAGCACGCCCGTGCCATAAAAGAGTCCTCTGAGCGTGTTGTAGAGCATGGCCCTGTGAACCCCTTCCCCAAATGTCATAGGCATATGAATGCATGTGACTAAGGACAGAAATGCACGTGAGTGTGTGAGTCGCCACCTTGTTTAATTATGGTAAACTTAGGAAAAAACCCTGAGTGACTCGGATTTTATTAACCTAGTGTACTAGAATTAATAACCCAATGTATTAACATTGGTGCAAACCCGAGATGGATTCCCGACGGAGACTATGTCATGCTGATGAACTAACCATGAATGAATCTTTCAAGGTGGAATGATGTAATTGACAAATGGAAATGCTTATGTGATTTTGATGATTTCGGACTTTGCCGCCCGGGTGAAATCCGCCGAAACGTGCACGTACTTCCGTTTTATAAATCAGAAAGTCAACGTTAAGTCGATAGGCCTTTTTTTAAAAGGGCTTTGGGCTTTGAAGGTGTATGCTTAATGCATGAGTGTGTATGCTTTGTGCATGAGTGTGTATGCTTTGTGCATGAGTGCGTATGCTTTGTGCATGAGTGCGTATGCTTTGTGCATAAGTGTGTATGCTTTGTGCATAAGTGCGTATGCTTTGTGCATTTTGTTTAGGTATTCTGCCAAAGATTGATTGATTTTTAGGCATGTTGCCAAAAATGTTGATTTTAATGGCTTTTAGCCAAAATGATTTTTGATTTAGGCAATTGTTGCCAAAAATGTTGATTTTAGGCGATTTTCGCCAAAATGGTTGATTTTAAGGCCTTTGGCCAAAATGAGTTGATTTAATGATGATTTTAGCTTGTGGCCATAAAAGTTGTTGATTAAGCAATTCGTTTGCTAAAATGTGTAAATTAGGCGATTGTCACCAAAATGGTTGATCTTTAAGCGGCCTTGGCCGAAATGATATTACAATGTTTGCCAAAAATGATGTATTCATTTCGCCAAAATGATTGATTTTAAGGCCTTTGGCCAACAAGTGTTGATTTAAAGAATTCGTTTGCTAAAATGGTGTAATGCTCTTAGCCAAAATGGTTGATTTAGGCAATCTGTTTGCCAAAATGATGTGATTGGGCGATTGTCGCCAAAATGATTGATTTTAAGGCCTTTGGCCGGAAATCGGTTCATTTTAAGGCATTTTGCCAAAAATGTCGATTTTACGGCTTTGAGCCGAAAATGGTTGATTTTAGGGCCTTTGGCCGAAATGAGTTGATTTAGGCAATTAATTTACCAAAATCGCCAAAATGATTGATTTTAGGGCTTTTGGCCGAAAATCGGTTCATTTTAAGGCATTTTGCCAAAAATGTCGATTTTATGCGATTTGTCGTTAAAATGGTTGATTTTAGGCCTTTGGCCGGAAATCGGTTCATTTTAAGGCATTTTGCCAAAAATGTCGATTTTACGCGATTTGTTAAGGCTTTTAGCCACAATTATTTATTAATTGGACTTTTAGCCGAACTTGTTCGAAATAAAGGAAATTACACCGTAGTTATTAATTGACTAGATAATAATAAGAGTTCCGTCACGCGACTGTTCTCCATAGAACAGCTGCGTAACGCAACTGTTCTAAGTTCCATAATAAAAGGCAAGAGTTCCATCACGCGACTGTTCATCATAGAATAGCTGCGTGACGTGACCGTCTTCAAGTTCCAGAATGTTTTTCTTATTTTGTATTAATTTCATTTCAGTGCTTTAAAATTAAATAGGCAGAGTTTCGTTTACGTTACCTGATTTAATCGGAAACCGCTTCTTAACTCCAGGATTAAGCTCCTCGCTTGGGGAAAATTATTAATTAATTTTTTAATTTATTTAATTTTAACTGTTTCCAAATATCACAACAAAAATGCAATAAAAATTAAATTAAATGGCAAAAAGCGGTAAAAAAAATCGCAAAGGGAGCGTGGGAGGGGAGAAAGATCGTCCGTCAACACAGCAGCCGGGGACGATGTCAAAAAATGAAGGGGGGAGGAGGCCATTTTATAGGCCAAAATGGGTCGGCCGGCGGCAGGTGCCGCCGGCGGTCCGCGCAGGGGCCGCGGTTATTGGGCTTTTTCACTCCGGAGGGAGTTTTCAGGAGTTCCGAGTCTCAGAAAACTATTCCGGGAGACACTGTTTCCGCGGATCCTCGCGATCATTCCGGACCGTTTTAAGTACCATATTTGGGCATTACGTTCTAGTAAAGATGTCAAAATGGCCTCCGGTCCGGCCGGACTGTTTGCACAGCTTGCTGCAGCAAAGTCAAAAGTTACTGTTAGAAAAAGTCAAACTAATTGGCATGGCACTGTTGCAGGCCGGATTTGTTTTGGCAGTCCTGGGAAACTTGGCTTTTGAGCCTCAAAATTTGAGTATTCACAGGCCCGTGCTAAGTCAATTCATTAGATCCAGGACTCCTAGCACGGCCCAAGCTGTTGCTTAGATGGCATTGCCCGTGTTTGAAGGCAGACTGGCTTGAAACTAAAAAAAAACGCAAGCCAATCTTTTTCTCACATGGGCCCGCCTCGGATATTTTTCTAAACGTGCTAAACAAGATCTAAACCTATTTAGGAAGAGAAAAGAGTCATAACTAAGAAGAAATCCAAGGCCTAAACGGTCATGATCTCCTAAAGAAGATTTTGTACTTAATTAGGATTCTATTTCCTAAACGGAGTCAGATTTTACTCCATGAGGTCTATATAAAGACGGGAGCTATTCATTATAAGATATCTCGAATTTTAGTATTTTTTTACATAGTTCTCTCTCTCAAAGAATTTCAAGCATCCAAGATTTGTGTCAAGATTCAAGGAAGCCATCCACATAGCTGTTGCCTAGTTTTTATCTCTAAACTTTATCTCTAAACTCTTTAATTTTGCCTTTCTTTTCATTGTTCAATTATTGAATTATGAAGATTTATTCAAGATTACTGAGTTTTTTTATTTAATTACTATGTCTAGCTAAACTCTCATACTAGGGATTTGATGTAGCTTAATTCGATTCCAATTTATAATATTAGATTTGCTTTTCGTTATTCTTGTTATAATTTATTATTGAACTTAAAGCTCCCAGGCAGAGTTTCTCCCCTGGATTGAATTATTTCATTAATCACTATCGGGAGAAGGGTTTTTGATATGAAAAATGTAATAAATTACTTGAGAATAACAACTTGATGCGGAAGCTATATGGTTTGACTCAAGGGGGGTTTTCATAAGTTAATGACCTTAAGTTATGAATTCACAAAACAACCATAAAACAAACCAATTAAAACTTAATGATTTAATATCATGTTGATTGCATTATTGAAAGATACGGTTAATTAGGACCGGATTTAGAATAGCTAACCAATAACATCGGGAGAGCTTGTTAGTTGATTTTAGGGTTGTTTCCCCTACTTGAACAATAAAATTGATTATTCAAACTAATAAAATTAAATTGGATAGAATTAAGTGAAAATCAATATCCCTAGTAGTTTTAAATTCCTTAATCTCTTTCCATCTAAATTTTGTTGTTTGATTTCTTTCTGTTTTATTTTTCAAATTTACTCTTCCCTAAAATAATTCCCATTATATCCGTTTAAAATTAATAATAGCGTTTAACCACAATACAATTTTGGTATTTGATATACAATCCCTATGGATACGATACTCTTTCACTCTATCTTACTTGTTGCGATTTCGTACACTTGCGAAAATCTCTATCAAGTTTTTGGCGCCGTTGCTGGGGATTGGCAATATCAATATCAATACTAGTTACCCTATTGTTAATTTAGACATTATTTTGTTTTAATTTAATTTTCTTTTAAGAATTATTTCAGGTGTTTATGCAAAGAAGATCAAGAAAGACTGAACCCCTAGTTTTTGATCCAGAAATTGAAAGAACTTATCGTAGGAACAACGCTGCAAGAAGAGCATGTGAAATAAAACCCGAACAACAAGCAGACATGGTCAACAACCCGAACAACAAGCAGACATGGTCAACGAAAATGAAATAGAAGACAGACCTCCACCTCAACATCCGATCCGCTCCTTGCGGGACTATACAACACCTAATCTTAATAGGACAACCTCAAGTATTACAAGACCTAGGGTGGAAGCTAACAATTTTGAAATTAAACCCGCAATTATCCAAATGCTTTCCACCTCAATTCAATATGGGGGTTGGCCTAGTTGAAATCCTAACGCTCATATCACAAATTTCCTGGATATCACAAATTTCCTGGAAATTTGCTATACTTTCAAACAGAATGGTGTTTCCGAAGATGCAATTAAACTGAGACTTTTTCCTTTCACTCTTAGGGACAAAGCGTGATCTTGGTTACAGTCATGCCCACTGGAACTTTCACAACATGGGAAGAATTAGCCCAAAAGTTCTTAGCAAAATTTTTTCCATCTTCAAAGACCACAAAACTGCGAAATGAGATAATGACATTTGCTCACCATGATCAAGAAAGCTTGTATGAAGCTTGAGAAAGATTCAAGGACTTGTTGAGAAAGTGCCCACATCACTTGCCTTAAGTGGTTACAGGTACAAACCTTTCTATAATGCTATCTCCTACATTAAAATCACTTTAGACTGCATCTGCCAGGTGGATCTTTTGAGAGAAAAGGAATTGATGCGGGCATATTGAATTGATAGAGGAACGATGGACATAGCAACATGCCATTATCAAAACAAATACCGAAAAGGAAGAGAACTTGGCAGGAGTCTATTTGAAATAGATTGCCATTTACAGGCACTCAATGCAAGGTAGATAAATATGGTAAGAAAATGGACCTAATTAACTACTAATCCTATATCTATTCATGGCAAAATTGTGACAGATGCAATGGACAACATGGAATTGGGAATGCATAATAAAAAACTTCTTTGAATCCGCAAACCTTGGGAGCAAGTTTAAATTATGTCATGGAATCAAGGAAGGAAGAATTTACCCATACTCCAATTCCTATGATAATAAAGATTGAGGAACCATCCCTAATGTTTCATAGTGGGAATCCTAACAATTGCTTTGAAGCAACCACCAGGCTTCCTTCCTCAAGAGAAAGAAATCATCATTGATTTGATCTCCTCCTGCCCTTTCTAAATCGCAACATGCGCATTTCATTCTAAATCGCACATGGATTTCATGAACGAAACCAGAGAAAACCACAAAATCCAATAGGCTGCGATAAGAAATTTGGAGATTCAGCTAGGACAATTTGTTAAAATGATGGCATTGCCTCCAAAGTTAAAGGATCCAGGAAGTTTTTCTATCCCTTGCAATATTGGTAATCTTGATTTTGAAAAAGCTTTTTGGCAGATTTAGGTGCTAGCATTAATCTTATGTCTTATGAAGTTTTTAAGATGCTAGGTATGGGAGAGCTCAAACCAGCAAGGATGTCTCTGTAATTAACGGATAGATCGATCAAATATCCAAGAGGAATTATAGAAGATTTGTAAAGGTAGGTACATTCATTTCTTCCTGTTGACTTTTGTTATCTTGATATTGATTTTTTGAAGACCAGGGGAAGGAGTCTCTAAATCCTTGGGAGGCCTTTTCTTGCAACTGGCAAGAGCATTAATTGATGAAGAGCATTAATTGATGTGTATGAAGGTAAATTAACTTTAAGGGTTGGACAGGAAGAAATTGTTTTTGATGTTCTTAAATCTTGTAAACTCCCTATGGACTATAGTGATTGTTTTCGAATTGATGTTGTTGATGAATGCGTGGAAAACACTTTGCATACTAAATATGACATTAATGAATCAAGCATCATAAATGAGAAGGAAAGTGAACCACAAAGGTAAGAACTGAAACAACTTTCACCTCATTTAAAACATGCATTCTTAGGTGAGAACCATTCTTTTCCTGTTATTATCTCTTCTCACTTAACACTTGATCAAGACTCTTGCATCAAGAGGAAAGGTTATTGCTGGTTCTCGAAGAAAGCATAAAGAAGGCATAGGATGGTCAATTTTAGACCTGACAGGAATAAGCCTGAGTGTATGCATGCATAAGATCCTGATGAAAGAAGACTACAAACCTTCAATCGAGCATTAAAGTCGATTGAATCCAAAACATGAAGGGGAGGTAGTCAAGGCTAAAAATTATAAAAACTTCTGATGCCGACATCATTTCATCCAATTCTGATAGTAGTTGGGTGAGTTCCTGTCCTAAGTTGTTCTAAGAAGAAGGGAGTAGAGGTATGACTGTTATCTCTAATGAAAACAATGAATTAATTCCCACTAGAAGAGTCACAGGTTGGCGTGTGTGCATAGATTATAGGAAGTTGAACAAGGCAACACGGAAAGACCACTTTCCCCTACCCTTTATTGATCAAATGCTTGAAAGACTTGCAGGTTATCCATTTTATTATTTTTTGGATGGTTATTCTGGATACTTCCAAATACCAATTGCTCCTAAAGATCAAGAGAAAACTACTTTCACTTGTCCTTATGGCACTTTTGCCTATAGGAGAATGCCTTTTAGACTATGCAATGTTCTTGCAACTTTTTAAAGATGCATGATGTCCATATTTTTTGATACGGTAGAGAAATTTATTGAGATGTTCATGGATGACTTCTCTGTACTTGGTTCTCCTTTCGATGCATGTCTTCATAACTTATCCTTAGTAATGCAGCGATGCGAGGACACTAACCTTATTTTGAATTGGGAAAAGTGTCACTTTATGGTTAGTGAAATGTTTAGTGAAGTATTGTCCTAGGGCATAAGATCTCTCAAAAGGGTGATTGAAGTAGACAATAGCCAAAATCGAGGTAGATTTGGAGGTAATTGAAAAACTACCTCCTCCTAACTCAGTGAGAGGAATAAGGAGTTTCCTTGGTCATGCAGGATTCTACAGGAGATTCATCAAAGACTTCTCCAAAATCACCAAACCTCTTTGTAATTTATTAGTTGAAGATGTTCCTTTTAATTTTGACAAAGAGTGTTTAAATGCTTTCAATAGGTTAAAGAAGGAATTGATCTGAGCACCTATCATTGCAACACCAGATTGGACTCTTTCCTTTGAGCTTATGTGTGATGCTAGTGATCATGCTGTTGGAGTTGTTCTTGGGCAAAGAAAGGAAAAGAAGTTGCACGTCATTTATTATGCTAGTCGCGTCGCACAGTTAAATGATGCATAATTAAATTTATGCCACTGACTGAAAAAAGAACTGCTAGCTATGTGTTTTTGGCTTTTGACAAATTGTTAGGGGCTTTATTTAATTGGAGCCAAAAACAATAGTTTACACTGATCACTCGGCTATCAAATAATTTGCTAGAAAAGAAAGATGCCAAAATTCGAGGACTAGATTCGTCAGTGCTTTGTATTGCCAAGAATTCGATCTGGAATTTCGCGACAAAAAGGGGAACCATAAAACCTTGTGGCTGACCACCTTTTCCAGGGCTAGAATTGCGTGAAGAGATACAAAAGGAATTACAAATCAATGAAAACTTTCCCCCTGATGAGCAACTCTACTGTTGCAAACACACAATCCCCCTGTATGCTGATAATATAACTACCTTGTTTGCAAAATCCCTCCTCCAACTTTTCTTATTCAACAAAATTCTTATCAACAAAAGAAAAAGTTCTTCCATGATATCAAATACTACTATTGGGAGGAGCCCTTTTTGTTCAAATATTGTAGTGATTAGCTATTCCGGCGATGTATACTAGAAGCAGAAATGGAAAGTGTCCTTAAATTTTGCCATTCAATGTAATGTGGAGGACACTTTGGAGCAAACAAGACAGCAGCACGTATATTGGAAAGCGGTTCGTATTGGCCTAATCTATTTAAAGATGCTTTTAACTTTGTTCGTCTATGTGATCGTTGTCAAAGGTTAGGTAACATTTCGAAGAGACATGAGATGCCCTTAAATAGCATCCTTGAAGTCGAGATCTTCGATGTTTTGAAGTCGAGATCTTCGATGTTTAGGGTCTGGACTTCATGGGACCTTTTCCACCATCATACTCCAACCAATACATTCTAGTGGGTGTGGACTTTATGTCAAAGTGGGCAGAAGCTGTTGCTCTTCTAAACAACGATGCCAAGAGTGTAATGAATTTTATCAAGAAGTATATTTTCACACGTAATGGCACTCCTAGGGCAATAATCACGAATGGAGGTAAGCATTTTTGCAACAAATATTTAGATTCCCTTCTTGCAAAATATGGTGTTACTCATCGTGTAGGAACTCCATATCATCCTTCCATATCATCCTCAAACAAGTGGATAAGTAGAAGTTACCAATATAGAAATCAAGAAGATCCTGGAGACCACTATTGGACAATCTAGGAAGGACTGGTCCAAGAAACTCAATGATGCTCTGTGGGCATACAAAACTGCATTTAAAACACCAATCGGTATGTCTCCATATCGCATGGTTTATTGTAAGGCTTGTCATCTTCCTATTGAGTTAGAGCATAAGGCGTTTCGGGGAATTCAATTTCTTACCTTCAATACAAAAGAAGTTGGTCAAAAACGGTTGCTACAATTGAATATGATGGATGAAATGCGCCTCCATGCTTATGAGAGTGCCAAAATATATAAGCAAAATATATAAGGATCACACCAAACAATGGCACAATAAGCATATTATCCTGAGGAATCTAAAGGTAGGACAACAAGTATTGCTCTATAATTCTAGACTCCACCTCTTTCCTGGTAAGTTGCACTCCAGATGGTCCGGTCCATTCATAATCAAGGAAATTTTTCCACATGGGGCCATCGAAATAGTGGATGGTAAGTCTAATCGAAGTTTCAAAGTTAATGCTCAACGTTTGAAAGTTTATCAGAAAGTTTATAATCGAAGTTTCAAAGTTAATGCTCAACGTTTGAAAGTTTATCAAAATGACAACTTTGATCCTGTAAAGAATACCATCAGTCTCGTCTGACCTAAATTAGGTTGAGTGCGTCGAGCTTAAACGACGTTAAACAAAAGCGCTTGTGGGAGATAACCCATGTTATTTTTTTCCAATTATTGTTCCCATTAATTTCTCTTATTTCTGTTACAAAATTTCCCAATTTTTCTCCATAAATTGTTCTTTTATTTTAGTCAAAATTTTTTAGGATCAAGTTAAAATCCACAGGTCAACACGCCCAGGCCGTGCTAAGACGCACGCCCGTGCCAAGATATGATAACTAAGCACGCCCGTGCATCAAGAAAGGAGAAAAACCACTTTGAGAGTCAGGGGCTAGCACGCCTAAGGCGTGTCCAGTAGCACGCCCGTGCGATCCGAAAGGAAATTTCACCTTGCAAGTCAGAGGTAAGCACGCCCAGACCGTGCACTGTAGCACGCCCATGCCAAGTACGCTTTATTTTTTTTTCTTTGCAGGACAGAGGCTCGTACGCCCCAGGCGTGTCCGACAGCACGCCCGTGCCACGAACCGCCTCCAGGCCACATTAGAGCGCACGGTCTGGTCGTGCGCAGGCGAACGCCTGTGCCACGACCAGACAGGCGCATTAAATCATGCCTCTATTTAAAGCTCACGCCCTAACCACTCCTCATTCCCCTCTCGCACGCCCTAG